TCAGCGTAAGAGCGTAGAACTGGGATGTCGAGAGCATCTGGGTCGCCCTCTGGGGATACAAGCATGGAGCAGAGATGGGGAACAGCGGCAGCAAGGTAGGCCAACTCGTACTGCCTGTCCTCTAGTACGTCACTGCCAAGGGCAGGTGCACCCCTGACGGACGGAGGACGGACAGTACAAGAGACCAGAGCGGCAGCGTAGTCAAGGCGGTGGCTAGCAGCAAAGTCAGCGACAGTAGCGACCAGCACGGAGACAGACTCAGGAGGAGCACTAGGGTCAGTGACAAGCGACGCAAGCAGGCGCGACAGGACTGGACGAGTAGTGCGAACAGCGTTGGAGCGAGGAGGGGGGGACGACAGTAGCGACGACTGGGAAGGCAGCGGGAGGACTGCGACGGGAGGAGCATGCGAACGAAGGAGCATAGGGTGGGCACTAGGACGGGGAGAGACGGGACGAGCACCAGAGGGGCGACGAACCCAGTGGGGAAGAATTGGGGACTGGGGACGAGGGGGGACGGGGGACAAGTCAGGGGAGAGAGGGGAGCGCGGGGGGAAACGAGCCAGAGAGGAGTCCGGAGGAGGAAACAACGGGCCGAAAACAGGGTCACGCAGCGGAGGGGGAACGGGCAGGCTGACAGGGGAACCTGGAGCAAGACCAAGGAGACGAAGGGCAGAGTGCGGTGGCTCCTGCTATGGCGACTGCACCTGCTGCTGCTGCCTGTCTGCTCGAGGACCTCCAGTGGCACCCCAGCTCCACCCACATGCCGCGAAACAGCACCCCCAAGACTAGCACCCTCGGTCTCACCACCTACAGAACCAGCACCCCTGGAGTCAGCACCCCCGGAAATTGGGTTTCACTGGCGTGGACCATGGAGGTGCGAGCCACCTCGATGATCAGGCCGATGCATCGCTCAGCGACCCCATTCTGCTGTGGGGAGTCCGGCAGTGTGTATGTCTGGTGGATGCCCTCCGCACGACAGAACCATCCTAGAGAGCCAGAGGCGAACTCGCCACCGCGGTGAGAGTGTAAGCGACCTACAGACAGGCGGTGGGCGGTGCGAACAGTGAGAAGCCATGGGAGGAGAAGGGTCGGCACGTCGGCATTCCGCTCCAACGGGAAAACTATGGTGAACCGCGAGAAGTCATCAACGACAACTAGGAAGTAGCGCTCGCGACTGAGACCATGGATCGGGGCAGGGCCCCAGACGTCCATGTGCAGTGTCTGTAGCGGTGCTGTGGTAGGAGAAAACGAGGATGAGTGAGGGGCGGTGCGCTGCCAGCCCTCGACGCAGGAGGTGCACAGTGGTGCTTCCGACGGAGGCAAGGCGGGGAGCAACGCAGGGAGACCGGTGACTAGACTGTACTAGGACATGCGCCTAAGACGCGGGAGTGCAGGGTGACCTAAGCGGTGGTGCCATAGAAGGGTCGGGTGGGCTAGTGAGCGACAGGAGCAGGACGCGGCGACCTCGGAAGATGCAGCAGTGAGCAGGGACTCAGTGTGCAGGGTAAAGAGACCTGATCCATGGTCACGCTCAAAGGTAGCTAAGTGTCGACCGGTGACAGTGTCTGTGCAAGCAGCGTGTCTCTCGCGGCCAGGGAATGTAGTGGTGACGCCTCGGTCCTGGAGGTGAGAGCAGTACTGTCTCGAAAGACGCACCGAGACGCTCCAGAGTCTAAGACAAAGGAGAGGGCCGACGAGGCGGGGCCCGGTGAAGAGTCTCTAACAGGTCCTACGCCTGACGCAGCAAGGAATCCTAGACTACACACAGCAGTAGCCCCAAGGCTACAAACAGCAGGATAATAAGAACTAGCAACACTAGAAGCATCAGAATACGGAGAATATAAGGCATGGTCAATCTGAATCATATCCATCTCAAATATAGGAACTCCACGACGAAGTAAGATCGGCTAGGGGGGAACCTGCACCTGCGGGCCGAAATGACGATGGTAGAGATCGTCCAGGCGGCGTAAGCAGCGAGCGGCGGTGTGCCCCACGCGCCCGCACACCTGGCCGGCCTGTGCGCCAGTCAGCAGCTGGTACGTGCAGATTACCGCGCTACCAGAACCACCAGCACCCTGATGCCCAAAAGAGCCACGCGACCCCCAGGGCACCAAAAGTCTTGGGCCCCAACCCCCACGGCCTCCACCACGACTACCACCCCCAGGGCCCGCCGGCCCCCAAGACTGTTGCGGCTGCTGCTGCTACTGCGGCGGCTGCTGCTGCTTCGACGGCTGCTGCTGCTGTGCAGTCCCCGACTCCGACTGACCACCCTCTCCGTCCGCACCCTCACCCCCTCCACCTGCTGCTGCCGACCCCCCACGACTCTTGCCCCCTTTGCCCTTGCCCTTGCCGCCAGATGAGCGGCCGGGGGCAGAGGTAGCCGCTGCTGTCTCAACTACAGAGGCGGAGGCAGGGACAGTCACTGGGAAGGGAGCGCTACCCCGGAAAAATAGGGACCGCCGGCGCGCCAGTGGAACCGGCGATAGCGCGGAGGCGGTCCTCTATCTCTGTCAAAGAGGTGGAGAAGAGGTCAATGATGAGCTCAGAGGAGTGACGAGCAAGGAGCGCGTCACGGGCAGGGGCTAGGCGGTCAGGGAGGCGGGTGACAAGGAAGTAGACAGTGGCGAAGAGGGGGGGCGGGGCGAGCGCTAGCTTGGCCTCAGTACAGGTCGCACGCCAACGAGCCTCGAGAGAATGTAGGTGCTCGACAAGTCTGCTACAGTGGTGAACGACGTCAGGTCAGGGTGGAAGAAAGGGAGGAGGAGACGACCAAGAGTGGCAGACGACGTGGTGGAGTACCTAGCTAGGATAGCCAGCCAGGGGGCGCGGGCTGACGCAGCACCCACAAAGTGGGAGTGCTCGGCAACCGGCAGGCACCTGAGGATGGCGACTTGAGTAGTGGCGTCGCGAGACGCCTAGATAGAGTAGGCAGTACGAGCAGCAGCGTGCACAGCCTGCTGCTCAGACGTCGCATCATGAGCAAGAGCGCCCGTGCGAGGGATAGTGGGGAGCTCACCAGAGACGTGGGTGTCCAAAGACTCGTCGTCGACGCGCTGACTCGTAAGCTGAAGGAGAACTGCTTCCTGCCAGGCGGCAAAACCGACTGCCCACCCCTCCCCATCCAGGCGCAGAACGAAGACGCCGGGCGACACTATGCTGGCAGCTGCGGCCGGAAAGACAGTGGCGGCAAAAGCAGGAATAGCTGGGGTGGCTGCTACAGGAGCCGTTGACAGCGAGGGCGGCTAGCTAGCAGCAAGGTGAGGATGGCAGCAGGCCAGCAGTGAGCTGGCTAGCGGAGGCGGCTACGTGGGTACGGGCGAGCCGCAGCAGTGGTGGCAGCAACGGCTGCAGTGGTAGTGTGGGCAGCAGCAGGGGGCGGCGTGGTAGCTGCAAGGGCAGCAATGGCAGTAGCAGCTGCAAGGGCAGCGGCTGCAGCAGCGGCTGCAAGGGAAGTGGCGGTAGCGGCAGTGGCGGCTGTGGCAGTGGTAGCAGCGGCAGCTAAAGCGGCTGCAGCGGCAGTGGCAACAGCAGCTGCAACAGTGGCCGCGGCGGCGGTGCAAGTGGCTGCAGCGGCAGAGCAAGCGGCAGAGCAAGCTGCAGCACTGGCAGAGGCGGTGGCTGCAGCGGAGAGGCGCCGCTGGCAGTGGGAGCTGGCGGGAAGTGGAGTCAGATGGCGCTGCTGACTAGTGCGGGTAAGCGGCGGGCGGGCGCTGGCGAGCTGGCGCTTGCGGCGAGCAGCTGGTGAGCTGGCACTGGCGGCTAGCAGCTGGCGAGCTGGCGGCTAGCAGCTGGCGGCTAATAGCTGGCGAGCTGGCGGCTAGCAGCTGGCGGCTAGGAGCTGGCGAGCTGGCGCTGGCGGCTAGCAGCTGGCGAGCTGGCGGCTAGCAGCTGGCGCTGGCGGCTAGCAGCTGGCGAGCTGGCGGCTAGCAGCTGGCAGCTAGTAGCTGGCGAGCTGGCGGCTAGCAGCTGGCGGCTAGGAGCTGGCGAGCTAGCGCTGGCGGCTAGCAGCTGGCGAGCTGGCGCTGGCGGCTAGCAGCTGGCGAGCTGGTGCTGGCGGCTAACAGCTGGCGAGCTGGCGCTGGCGGCTAGCAGCTGGCGAGCTGGCGCTGGCTAGCTGGCTGGTGCTTGTGAATGCTTGCTGGCGCTGGCAAGCTGGCGCTGGCGTGCTGGCGCTGGCGAGCTGGCGCTGGCGGCTAGCTGGCATGAGCTGGGGGCTGGCTAGCTGGCGCTGGCGGCAAACTGCTGGCAGGGGCTAGCGAGCTAATGCTGGCGAGCTGGCGCTGGCGAGCTGGTGCTGGCTAACGCAGGTGAGCTGGCGCTGGCGAGCTGGCGGGCTGGTTGGCGCTGGCGTCAGGGACAAGCTACGGTCGAGCGGGGGGGGGTGTGGGGGGGATCGGCGACTAACGAAGGCGCCAATGTGGTGCGGGCTAGCGGCGGCTGGCGCTGGTCAGCAATAGCTGGTGGCGGCTGGCGCTAGCTGATGCGAGCTACGCGACGAGCAGAGGAGGGCGGGGAGGGGACGATCTACAAGGCGCGCAACTAGGGGTGAGGCGCGCTAGGCTAGGGTGTGCTAGGGCGGAAGCGTGAGTAGAGGGCGAGACCTAGCTCTAGATGCCATGTTAGAATGTCGAGAGAAATGTGACTGAGGAAGGCTGAGGGTTACTAAGGTGGGAATGTACCCTCTAAGAACTGACCTAACTAAGGCTATAACAAATATACCGTACCTAGCATAGACAATTATATTTGTTGACAGTGCCAGCCTGAGGTGCGTGTTTCTTGCTCAGCACTATCCCTCATCTAGCCTAGGGGGTGTGTCAACTTATACATGTGTTGTATGTAGAAGTTATAGGCTAGATAGTGTCACGAAAGCTACGTAGCTAGGAAGCCATGAATGGCGAGAGGTTTAGCTGGGAGAGAAGTTGAAGAGAGAAAAGAGATCTAGAATAGATGAGAGGGATACCAGGAGGGGTGTTGTACTCTCTAAAATAAGTTTCAGTAATGCCTACCAAGCCTACAATTATATAACATATATAATCTAACAGATAGGTGCATGTTCATAAAGGGTACAACTCCAACCCTATATCCCCCTTGTTCTTTCTTGTTTTCTATTCCATTCTAGTATTCTAACTGGAACTTGACACTATACGGAAGGTTTTGAATAACCTACAATAAAACCAGTGGAAATCCGTCAGGTCTGTTGCAGCAAGTGTTGTCGACCCAGCTGTCACAATTTACAAATGAGCACACGATGCTGGAGTGGTGCAGAAACCCTACAGTAGGGGATCAACCGGGGTATGAAAAACTGGTGTAGAGACTAGGAGCTGGAGTTGTAGTGGAGCTGGAGATGCCTCGTGAACTGAGGTGAGGAATAGGCGTGATAAGGCGGACAATAGGTGTAGCCTGCCCACAAGCCTGTGTCATGAGTCTGGCTGTGGGGGAACCGGTTCTTTAGGGTGTTTAGAGGCATAATGGTCCACTAGCTGGTTGTAATTGGCGAGCAGAACCTGGATGCGAAAGTGGAAGGGGAAATGATAAATGTTAAAGTTACAATTGAGCTAACAGGTGATGAAACAATGGCTGGCCATGCAGGTGAAATGGGGAGCCGTGAGATGGAAACAGGGATGGTGGATATTTGGAAGCCAAGCGGAGAAGGTTAAAGTGGAGAGCCAATGTAGGCTCATGAACTAGACTCCTATTCAGTGCAGTGCACGTTACTAGTGTCATGTAACCACGCAGCAGGGTAGCCACACACACAGCACAGCGACACAAGACGTTGCATGCTACAGCGGCCACGCGACCTTGACAGAACTAACGCCGTTTTCCGCATCACAAGACGTCCAGCCACAACAATGGCAAGAATGATAACCCGCTACTCCGCCGCTCCGTCCTTCCCACCATGAACTCCCCAATCAACAGCTGGCATCCCTTTACACACAATGGCTGGATGGGAGTGACCGTCCATTAAGTGACGCTAGCGCAGACGAGGCAAGAGGCGCAGCGGCCGAACAATGAATCAACCATCTGGACTGGGCCCTTATCAACCAAACCCTAAAGCACCTCCATAAGCTTGTAGCGTCCTACCTCGCCGAGAAGCAACAATGGCGTACCTTGCAGATCGGGCATGCTGACTTGAACGCAGCGGCGCGGGCCTCTAATTGCGAGCCTTTAGCCTTCTGATTTCGCGCTTCGTTGCGCTTCTGCGACTCAATCTTTTGCTTGCCACGAGTCATGGCGATGCTCGGCAAGCCCAAAGGAACGAGCGTGACAGGACGTGTAGGTCAAACCGAACGTCTTGTCTGGAAACCACGTCGTGATGCCCAGGACAAGTCGGGGAGAAGCAACCTTTGGGTGGAGTAGGCGACGGGGAGTGAGTATGGTTGCGCTTAGTGTGCAGAATGACAACTCTGTACAATGCGTTTTGTTAGAGAAAATGCATGGAAATGTTCTGTAACGTAGATGGTTTTTACACTACACCATCGCGGGGCTCTTCTTAGGCACGGCAATCCCGAGCCAACGACCTTCCCGTCAGCCATTGGCTCGCTCGTGCCTTATTCCTCCCTGTGGGGTTTCGCTTTATTGATGGACTCGTTTCTCAGTTTAATAACATGCCTACACAAATCAAAACAAATCGTTAGAGAGTCAGCGTATGGAAAAGGTCCACACAACTTGTCTGCTGCAGCTGTGGCCTCATGGTGACTATTTCAATGTTGTTGGAACCGCTGTGTGGTTGACCAGGCACCCCTCAAAATCCCACCCTGCCACGCGGCACATACCTAGCCGTGTTGCATCACCACACGAGTTGTGCATCCAAGATGCGGACACGTAGCTGTCAAAAGGACCGGCAGGGGTGGGCCACCAACAGGTGTCGTAAGATCCATAGCTTTGTCCACGTCACTCCGGCCTACGCAGCAAGCCAAACCACACCCAACCAGCCAGTGCCTTTCCCAACAAAGCAACACCTCGTTCCGCCGTCGTGGTGCACCGAACTCGGAACAGCCCCAAAAACAGCCCTGTATTTTTCCCACTGACACTTACCCACCGTACATTTCCCTGGCAGTTCATACGTTTTCAAACCGACCTCACATCACACCAGGTTCTGGCAGCAGGGCAGCCCTCACTACAGAGCAACCCGAAGATAACAGTCTGGTTCCCGCACCATTACCCCGTAACTGCTCTCAGTTGGTCAGATCAGGTGAGAGCTGTTGAGTTGAGACTTCAAGGTCTCCCCATTTTGCCCTGCCACTGCTGAGTCGGAAACTTAGGCACAGGGCAAACCTTTCTACGCCAAGTTTAGTCCCCGTGCTGGTCGCCTTCCCTCACCCACTGACCAGCCATGGCGGCCCTCCAAGCGTGCTCAGCTTCCAGGCTGTGCGTGTCAGCAGCACCCAGGCAAACAGCCGCGCCCCGGCGAAGAGCCACAGTGTGCTCCGCAGACTCCACTCCACTCCTCTACAAGCCCCTCGCCGCCTCCTCCTCCACCCAATTCACCTCCTTCTCCCCGCTCCCCTCCCGCGCGTCGTGCGCTCCTTCCGCGCGCTCGCGCTCGCAACGCTCCGCGTCCGTGCGATGCGCGGCGGCGGACCGCCCGGCGTCGCAGCCGCGCATGATCCAGCACAAGCAGGAGGCGTTCTGGTTCTACCGCTTCCTCTCGATCGTCTACGATCACATCATCAACCCCGGTCACTGGACCGAGGACATGCGTGACGACGCGCTCGAGCCCGCCGATCTTAACGATCGCAATCTGCGCGTGGTGGACGTCGGGGGTGGAACGGGTTTCACGACGCTCGGGGTGGTCAAGCATGTGGACGCGAAGAACGTGACGATTCTCGACCAGTCGCCGCACCAGCTCGCGAAGGCCAAGGAAAAGGCGCCGCTTAAGGACTGCACGATCATCGAGGGCGACGCGGAGGACCTGCCGTTTCCCACGGACTACGCCGACCGTTACGTGTCGGCCGGCAGGTGAGACATGGTGCCATTGTGGGTGCACTCGAGGTATTAAGAGACTCGCCATCTGTGCGCGGTTATTCTTGGGTGTTGTTGGTGCGATGCCACAGCGATGTCTGGCCACTGACGCGCGCAATAACCGTCGATTGCCGTAGTAACCGTCGATTTTTGTTGGCCCGAATTTTTTCGCTGCCCGCTTTGGCAGCCCTGTTTACCTTCAGCGATCACAGCCGACGTCTTACGGGATGCCTTGCACTGAGATATTCTTGTTTCCCATGTATATCTTGACAGTTGAAAAAATAAGCTGAACGAAAATGACCCTTTTTTATGTGTACGTGGAGGCATTAGCGGCACCTGATCTGAGGGTTTCTCTATCGACTCCCTTTTCCCCATCCAGTCCGCTTTTTTTCCCCTCGTTGTGCCCCGTCTCCCGATCTCACATCCATTCCTTTATTCTTGTTGATCTCCTCCCCCTTTCTCTCCCCCCCCCCGCCCCCACCAGCATCGAGTACTGGCCCGACCCCCAGCGCGGCATCAAGGAGGCATACCGCGTGATCAAGCCGGGCGGCAAGGCGTGTCTCATCGGCCCGGTGCACCCCACCTTCTGGCTCTCGCGGTTCTTCGCCGACATGTGGATGCTCTTCCCCACGGAGCAGGAGTACATCGACTGGTTCACCAAGGCTGGGTTCTCCGATGTTAAGCTCAAGAGGATCGGCCCCAAGTGGTACCGCGGAGACCGCCGCCACGGACTCATTATGGGCTGCTCCGTTACTGGCGTGAAGACCAGCCCTGGGGATTCTCCTCTTCAGGTGAGATGATGCAGCAATTCGTGCCCGTGTTTTTGTTTTTTCCCTCTCCCTGTCGTTCTATTAATGTGCCGCGGGTCTAGCTTGATCTGAAAACCTTGTAGCGTTGGGGAGACTGGGCGGCGTGTTTACGAACATTGGAACCGGTTGGAAAGGAAGTGGGCTTCGCTGTTGCTCTCCAGTGTGACATTATGGCTCTACACACCCCAGTAGTCGCTTGCCTTTTGAGCTGCCTCTCCCCTCCTCCCCCTGTCTATCTAACTCTCTTCTCTCTTTCCCTCTCTTCCTTCCTCTCCCTAATATTCTCCCTGCATTTCTCCCATCTTTCTCTTTTTCCGTTTCCTCGCTCTCTCTCTCTCTCCCCCCTTCCTGACTCCCTCCCTCTTTTCTATCACCATGCGTTGGTATTAGTTCTTACAATGGCAATAGCCAGCAGGTCCACAATCATTAGTCGACTAGGAGACCAGCTTTCCGATCTTGGTGAACCACTGCTCAAAGTTCTCACTACCAACTCCGAACCCTTACTCACCCTACTCACTCACTCCTTTTTCCCACTCTTCCCCCCATGGCAGATGGGTCCCAAGGCCGAAGACGTGAAGGGCCCGTTCAACCCCTTCTCGTTCGCCTTCCGTTTCATTGTCGGCACCATCTGCAGTCTCTACTACGTCATCATTCCCGTCTACATGTGGCTCAAAGACCAGATCCTCCCCAAGGACTGGAAGTTCACCGAGAACTAATATCGAGGATTGGGTGGTCTGTGAGGTGTTTTTGCATAATACCGCGACTCTTTTTTTCTCGTTACCTAAGGTTCACACTTATATCACTGTGCTGCACCTAGTTAGTTGCTTGCTATTACAATATCCAGCTAAACCTGGAGAAAACTCCTATTGTGATTGTAGAAAGTGACCAATGCATGCTGTTAATTTTTTTAGGAAAAGTAAAGTGCAAATTTCCCGGTCCAATGAAATATCATCCTAGCCGAATCAGTGCATAACACCTTGGCTCAAATACTGCTGTCTATCTTCCTGCTACACTGTAGTAATTTGTCACAACCTTACCAGTTCATACACTCTGCAAGCAAGAAGACATACTATCACCATACCTTCCCATTGACTGTCTTGTGCACACTATCTCAACACTCAGACATTAGATAAAAGCACCCCTCCTTCGCTTGATGGTAGGAGGACAAACCAAACCAGAAGTCCAAATCTTGAAAACGATCTTGTGATGAGATCTTCAAGTCAAGTCTGTGATTGAAGAAATGGGAAGAGGGGATTGGCGGGGGGGAGGCAAGGGTGAGAGAACATGGTGATGGGGAGGGGAGCAGCAAAAAAACAAGTGTCGAATTCAAAATTAACAGTGACATGTAGGACAAACACTAGACATACACACAGCAAAGAAAGGTGCATGAGAAAGTGCTCAGCACGAGAGAGATGGATGTGCACGTGGGACTGCTCTCTGCAGGTGAGCTGGATGTGCGAGTGCAACTGCTCGTCTCTGCACGAAAGATGGCGGTGCAAGTGTAACTGCTCTGCTGCGCATGGGAGATGGATAGCAGGTAAGGGTGGACGGTACTTACTGCGAACAGTCCGCTGAAGTGGCCCTGCAGGAATGGGACAGGGGGGGTGGAGGGTAGTGGGTGGAGGTGAATGAGGGAGGAGAACACGAAGAATAGTGTGCGCATGTGCGTGTGTGTGGGGGGGGGGATGGGGGGGAGAGGGGGGGGTAAGTGTGTGAGAGAGAGGAAATGGACAGGAAACCTATGCTGCTTGTATCGAGTCAGTAACCCTGCAGCAGCTGAGGAGCAGCAGCAGCAGCAGCAGCAGCACACATAGGTACTCACATTTGTGCATACAGCGAAGCATAACGCCTTCATGTAGCTGTCCCTTAGCTCATGCGATGCATTCCAAACCTGCACATACAACATGCCATGCCACACGCAACAAGCCATGCCACACGCAACAACAAGCCATGCCACACGCAACAACAAGCCATGCCACACGCAAACCATGCGAGCAGGACAGTCAGCCTTCCGCCTGCCACCGCCAAACCCCCAAGAACCACATGGAGCAGTAGCAGTATCCACCGCAACCGACTGCAATGCAGCAGGCTCTTGGGCGCCTCAAAAGACCGATTTTGAGCCGCCTCACTCGGTGATATTTGAGCTACCTAGAAAAAACTAGAACGCCTCCTGCCACCTCTGAGTCCTGGACCCACCGCATGGAGCAGTGTGAATGTATGAAACCCACTGCAATGCAGCCCGACCTTGGGCGCCTAAAAAAAACAGATTTTGAGTTACCTCTAAACCCTAGACCCAGCGCATGGAGCAGCATGAATGAGCCCCACTGCAATGCAACACTGTAACAGGCACCTCCGGAGCACAAAGCAACGGCCTTGCTGCACAGCAGGATAGCCAAGGGGGCATCTCACGCTGCATAGCATAAGGGGACATCCCACCCACGCTAGCTTCAAGGCTGGACACAACAGTGTTGGTTCGGGTGGTGCTGCAACATCACCCCAATGCCCCAGAGGAGATCGAGTGGCGCCACTCAAAAGCCGGTTTCTTGTGTGTTGATTCGACTCAGAAGCCGGTTTCTTGTGCATTGAGTCGACTCAAAAGTCGGTTCAAGTGGCGCCGCGACATCACCCGAACACTTCCTACAATGAAACGAGCGCGTGATACTTAACCTTGGTGGAGCAACAGAGGCGGCACGATGCTTAAAGCCCATGCAGGAAGCAGGCAGGCACTACCTTGCAGCTGCAGAAAGGGCGGTGTTCCTGGGTGTGCTTTAAGTCGACTCGATGCTCACCTTGCAGCCGCAGAAGGGACAGTGCTCATGGGCGTCCCGCGATCTGGATGCCAGCTTGAAAAAGAGCCTGACAAATTTGGAAGGAGCGGGAGAAAAAAAACAAAAACAAAAAACCACAAAAAAAATCCACAAGTATTGATTCTCAAATATAATGCACAGTGCAACTAGCAACAGAACCAGAACAAAACAACGCAATGGGGAGAAGCGGTGACAGATTTCTAGCATGATTCTCAGGTTCCCTCACATAATGTCAAGCACAGCAACAGGTGAGCTGTACTGTACGACACAAGCAGGCAAGAACCGACGGTGCTTGTCAAGCCAAGACATGTTGCCTTCTTGCTGCCCGTTGCTGATGACTAGAAGTCGTCCCATAGAGGGGTGAAGGGCGGAACAAGGAGAGACACACATGCACAGAGAGAATGGATGAGGGGAGTGCAAGAGGAGTCCATTTTTTAGGCGCCTCAAAAATGAATGAGGGGAGTGCAAGTACATACGGGGTGCGGTGGAACCCGGCAATGAAGCCACGGCACACGGAGATGTCCCAGATGTTGAGCGACGGCTCAAGCACTGCAAACGACGCCACTCCCACCTCCGCTTCCTCGTCGCCCTCCTGCCCCTCACCACATCTGCTGCCACACCTGCTGTCACACCTGCTGCCACACCTGCTGCCGCTGCCGCTGCTGCTGCTAGTCCCGCCCCCCTCCCCACCGCTGCTTCCTCCCTCCTGCCCCTCCCGCCCCTCCTCCCCATCTCCCCCCCCCTGTCCCTCAGCCACCTCATCTGAAGCCACGTCACGCGCCTCTCGCCCGTCAGCACAGGCGGGGGAGAGCAGGGAGGGGAGGAAGAGCAGGTCGGTGAGGAGCGAGTGAGAGAGCGCGGAGGTCTCGTCGATGTGACCCACGAGTCCCAGGTACTGCCTGTCCGGCAGGTGCCACACCATGGCTTCCAGCGCTGCTGCTCGCACCTCCGCTGCTGCGGCGGCTGTGTCTCTCAGTCCGTCGGGGTCTCCCCTTTCGCCCAGTTCTCTCTCGTGCGCATCACCGTTCCGATCACGATCAGTATCCGCATCATCATCGTTAGCATCAGCATCAGCATCGGCATCAGCATCGGCATCAGCATCGGCATCAGCATCGGCATCAGCATCAGCATCAGCATCGGCATCAGCATCGGCATCAGCATCGGCATCGGCATCGGCATCGGCATCGGCATCGGCATCGGCATCAGCATCGGCATCAGCATCGGCATCAGCATCGGCATCAGCATCGGCATCAGCATCGGCACCTGCCAAGGTCACAAAGTCCCCCTCCACCTCACCATAGCCATCCTCAGCAGTATCAGTACCAATATCAGCATCCCCTCTCCCACTCCCTCCCTCCACGGCACCACCATCACTCCCATCCCACATGCGCTCATACCGCTCCAGAAAATTCTCTGCCCCATCCCCATCCCCATCCCGATCCCGATCTCGATCCCCATACCACGGCCGTCTCAGAATCGCCTCAATGTCAATCCGACCCCCTCCCCCCCTCACACTATCCCCCTCTCCCCCCCTCACCACTCTCCACCCCTCCCTAAGCACCCTCCTCCCCGCCCTCCCCACTCTCGTCTCCCCGAACCGCCGCGCCATGCGCCTCCCGCCCCTCACGGCCAAGCGCCGCGCGCCCCTCACTGCTCGTTTCGCACCCACGCACCCGAGATACGTCACCACCACCGGCACAAGCACCGCGATCACCGGCATCCAAGCGATCCGCGCCGCCACGCGCTTACACCACCGCCACGCGGGCCGGCGCGCTGACGCGTCGGAGAAGCCGGTTTCGTCGTCTAAGAAGCACCCCTCGGAGCGCCACTCCCGGATCTGGTCTAGGAGCTGCGTGATTCGCGGGTGCTGCAGGCTGAACGGCACCTCGAGAATGCCGGGCGAGTAGCTGAGAAGCTTCGGCGGAACAGCGGCGGCGGTTGGGCCGCCGAGCCTGCCTTGGAAAATACCCGTTAAGAGGTTCACCGATGGAATGCACCCGCGCGCGGCGCCGCGCCCGACTAGCGAAGTGCGCCGCCATGAGTCCGCGCGTTCCGGGCCGCCGCTGGCGGCGCCGTCCTGTAGTAGCGAAGCCACGTGCTGCTCGCGTCGCATGGAAGTGAAGAGACTCTGCGCGCGGGCGTGACAATAAAGGGGCCATAGGTGCGACGCCGCGAGCTCGCGAAGGCGCGTGCAAGTGGAGGCGAGGAGGGCGATGGCCCGGAGAGTGCGGCCCGTCATACGCGCTATAGACAGGAGGACCTCGGCGTCAAGATCTGGTAACCCGGTTACTCGTACTCGCTGATGGGGAGCATCCTCTTCGGCCTCCCCTTCTACCGGAAGGATCTCTGACGTCGCCGTCATGTGGCCCACCGTCAAAAGGTGAAATTTTGCTGAAGAAGCGCGGCCAAGGGGACGGTCAACGTGGCCGTCACGGGGGAGGTCAACGGGGTCAGCGGCACCGCGGACAATTACCGCAGCCGGCGTCGGGCCACGCTGCGCCGCGGATTCGCCATCAGGCGTCGCCGCTTCGCTGCCGAATAACGCGTCACCGCGTGGCGCGCGCGCCTCGGTTCCATGGCCCTCCATGGAATCGTGGCGCATGGACTCGAGCCTCATGGTCGAACTTATGACGGACGGGACCGGCGGGTCAAGAGGGGCGGATGGGGACGCCGTCCAAGAGTCGCCGGCCGCTGGCTTAGCCGCGGCGGTGGTGTCGAATCTACGGAGGTGAGGAGGATCCTGCGGTGCCTCGCTTGGTTTCTCCGACGGGGCCTCGAGTGGAGTGCTGCGTTCCTCGGGGTGAGGGAGCCTGTATTCCTCGTCCCATTCTGATCTTTCCCTGCCTTGGCTTTCTTGGACCTCCATCGTTCTTCAACTGTCCTATAAATACGGATGGGACCACACACCCTCACTGAAACTGCTGCTCAGCAGTACTATAACAAATAAGCAACTAGAAGAAGAAAATGTTAAAATTCATTACGCGGCATTGTACTACGAATTCGCGTGTCAGGGCTGATTGCGCGGACGGCGAGACGAGTGAAACTGGAGCATTGTGCAGCAGCAAGAACTATAAAGAAAGCCGCCATGGCGAGGGCATGGCGGGAGGGGAAGGTATGGCTTCTGAACTGGTGGGTAAATTACCTACTATGCAGGATCCATCGAAATATGACTGGGGGCAGGCTTCGCAGAACGTTTTGCTAAGAATATGCGGACAATCTATAGTTGTGAGGTCTCGGTCGAGGAAGTGGTACTGTGAGGTCCAACGTCGTAATACTGTAAAAAAAAGAGCCCGATTGCGGGCAACCTAGAAAGGGCAGCACGTCGGGGCAGATGAGCACTCTACAGCTCTGTACTATTCGGGGCGCATTCCTTCCCCGTGTCAGTTTACATGGCACGCGGTCGATGATATCTGCGAACTGGGCGTACGGAGAGCTGAAACCGCATAGGAACCCGCCCTCAGCCACATCAGCGCAAAAGCCTTCCTTTTGGAACAGTACATCCCGAAAACACGCCCGAGAACGCGCCCTCAGCGAATGCCGTGGGGAGAACGCAACTGGACTGGAGCCTTGGGGGTTGGAATGAAACACCGCCCAACAGACGCGAAGGTGCAGATAAGTCCGGGCATGAGGAAGGGCCAATCATGTTGGCAACCTTCCAGGTGTAGCAAACATTCCATTGGTAGGTGGAGAATTGACACTGTGCCAGCGTCGGGTCAATGCTGGGCTCTTGACTTTCGACGACAGGCGGAGAATGCATCGCGAATTACCAAAGTAACAAATGTTGCACATATTGATATTTCAACATAACACAATGTTATGAATGTCACATTAATAACATGTATCGTCTATACCGATGAGGGCCTAGTCATTAATAGGCACGAACTGTGTAGAAATGAACAACGTGTTTAGGGTGGCCAGGATCTATATTTGGTGGAACCACGAGTAAAAGTCAGCGGCATACTTTACACACTGTACTGAAAATGTCCGAAATGACAAGGATAATAATAATAAGTACCGTAATACATCTTAGCGTAGAAAGAATTGACTAGAATGAGGTGGTACAAGGAGATATAACCTAAGGGTTTGTACTCCATATAAGCATACACTTAGCTAGCCTATAACATATACAACTTATATGTTGACACAACCACTAGGCTAGACAAGGGGCATGGACTAGCAAGAGACACACAACTCAGGGTGGCACTACTAGTCCAACCTGTGAGGCAAGGGTCCGACGACCAATCAGCAAGAGTACAAACAAAGCAAGTGTAGCCCAGGGCGGCTCTACTAGTCCAGCCACTGGAACAAGAGCTACAAGGCCAGTTAATATAATATAATTAATAGTACACAGTCAAGGTCCTAGCAAGTGAGAGACTACAGGAACTAGACCAAGCTGTACACAGTGCCGCTGATGATCTTTAGGCGCAAGCGCCTTCGTAAAGATATCAAATATGTTGGCCCCTAAGGCCAAGTGAACTACGCGAGCCTGGCGGCGCTGCTGTAGCTCGCGTAGGAGGAAGTACTGCAGCTGGATGTGCTTCGCTCTGCCCTCCAGTCTAGGCTCCTTACACAGGAGGATCATGGCCCTGTTGTCAGCGTACAGAACCGGGGCAGAGCTAGGCCGCTCACCTAAGTCAGTGAGCAAGAAAGTCAGCCAGCGGAGCTCCTATTCCGCCATGGCACCAGCGTAGATCTCAGCCTCACAGCTCGACTGGGCAACAGACGACGAGCGGGTGGACCTCCACGAGATGGCGCCTGCACCAAGGTTAAAGCAGTAGCCCTGGGAGGACCTGAGTGTCTCAGCTTCGTTCGCCCACGAAGCGTCTCTGTGCCTTGTAAGGACCACTGGTCTGCGTCCTCCTAGCACTAGCCACATGCCCGATGTACTTGCTAGATAACGCAAAACCCTCTTAGCAGCCGACCAGTGCTGTGGTCAGTGTCTGCTTGGGGCCACAAAGCGAGCTTAGGATGCTGAGAGGGTATGCGAGATCTGGACGAGTGCAAGTCATCAGGTACATGAGGCAACCCACCGGCTCTGCGTAAGGACCACTAGGCTCTACAGACTCATCAGGGACTGGAGACGAGAGCCTATGATCTACTGGTAGAGGTGTGGGCTGTGCAGAGGAGAACTGAAGTCCAAACCTCTGAAGGACCTGGCGCACCAAGTATAAGAGTGATCGCACGAGCTGCGCTCTCCCGGGAGATCTACAGTCCAAGGTAGCAGCGCCGCTCTACTAGGTCAGTGCAGGTGTGTCTCCTCAGCAACTCAGCCTTCACGGAGGCCAGTGCCACTTTGTCTGCAGTAGTAAAGACCAGGTCGTCTACGTAGACTAGGATGTAGAACTGGGGCTGGCCAGCGCGAATGAAGAGCGAGGGGTCTGCAGAAGACGGAAAGAACTGCAGGCCAGCTAACGTAACACGAAGCGTGTCGTGCCACTCACGCGACGCCTGTCGCAGGCTGTAGACCGGGTGCCGGAGGAGCCACTGGGTTCCCAAGCCAAAAATGCCGGTGAAGGCTGGAAGACGGCGTAGGCAGACCTGCTCGTGCAAACTGCCAAGAAGAAAAGTTGTCGATAAGTCGAGAGAGTGCAGCTCGTAGTCACACTGTGCTGCTACATGTAGCACGGTCCAAATGTAGTCATCTTCGGGGTCGGGGCAAAGGTCTGGAAGAAGTCCACACTCTCGCGCTGACTGAAGCCTCTAGCAATGTAGCGCGCCTTGAACACTGGTGGCTCTCCAGGAGGGCGCTTCACCTTGAAGATCCACCGGCCATCGATTACGTTCACCCAAGGTGGGGGAACTGCATCGACGTAGGTGCTGGTGGATCTCCACAATGCCATCTCCACGTCCATGACAGATCTCCATTGAGAGGCCCAGAGTCCCAAGGTCGCCTCAGCATAGGTGCGAGGGGTCGGGATGGCGAAGGCATCCGGGTCGCCCTCAGGGACTAGCAGCATGGAGCAGAGATGAGGCGCGACCTCGGACAGGAAAGCAAGCTCGTACTGCCGGTCCTCCAAGACGTCACTGCCAAGGAAAGGAGCACTCCCGATGGACGGAGGACGGACAGGGTCAGAGACAAGAGCGGTGGCGTAGTCAAGGCGGCGGGTAGAGGCGAAGTCAGGGACAGCAGCAACAAGAGCGTCAAGACTCGAGACGAAAATAGACGGGTCGGTAACAAGGGAGGCGAGGAACAAGAGGACTAGCGGCACGATGGTAGTCAGACAGAGGAGGCGGAGTGACAACAAGCGATGACGGAGGAGAGGAAGGGAGGAGGGGAAGATGAGACGCGTGGGAATAAAGCAATATCAGGTGAGAGCGCTGGACAAGAGAGACAGGACAAGCACGAGAGGGATGACGAGACCAGAAGTGGGACGGAAGCGTCAGGTTAAGAGACACATGAGGAGACACAGGAGGAGAACGAGGGGGTAATCGAGCCGGAGACGAGTCTGGCGGAGGAAAGACAGGGCTGTAGATAGGCAGGGATAGTGCAGGTGGGCGGTTAGGGGAGGGAAGGCCGAGCAGGCGAAGGGCGGACAAGGGCGGCGACTTCTGCTGCGGCTGCTCCACGGCGACACCAGAACCTCCAGCTGCACCACGGCTACCTCTGGAATGCTCCAATCCAGCACCCCAAGAACGAGAACCCTTTCCAGCATCGCTGCCACCCCCGATATTGCCGCGAAAATCCACGACAGTAACCCCGGGACTAGCACCCTCCCCAGCGCCCACACCCCCAGAGCCCACGGGCTGCTGCTGCTGCTGCGGCGGCGGCAGCGGCTGCTGCTGCGGTTGCGATGACGGCTGCATCTACTGCTGCGGCGCAAGCTGCTGCGACCGCGGAGGAGGAGATACCAGGGGAGAAACAGACGGCGAGAACTGCGCCGCGGGGCTCCTAGAGTCAGCCGATTTCTCGATCGGGACAACCGACGGAAGGGGAGTGACGTGAGACACACCAGATCGAGCAGAACGAGGAGGGAGGGGAGCAGGGGCTACCGGGGGAGTGGAAACCAAAAAACAGGGGCGGGGAAACCGGTGGTAAAGGGAGACAGACTTGTCGAAAGTGACGTCACACGAGTGAAAGAAGCGGTGAGACGAGTGCTGTAGGAAAAGACTGTGCTGAGACATGTGACGCAGACGCGGGAGTGCGGGGTGACCTAGGCGGCGGTGCCATAGAAGCGACGGGTAAGTGAGCGACCGACATGAGCAAGCTGTAACGATCTGGGTAGACGCAGACACCTGGGGGGACGCCCTCACCAGGGGGGACTCGGTATCGAGCGTAAACAGGCCAGACACCGGGTCCTGAGGGAACGTGGTGAGGGGAGCACGTGTGGCAACCTCGGTGCAGACCGCGTAGCGCTCGTGGCCAGGGAACACAGTGTTGACGCCAAGGTCCTGAAGACAACCGACACCAACTAGGTTCCTGCAGAACGAGAGGATGTGCAGGCATGTAAGGGAGCCTGAGGGAACCGCCAGACAGTGAAGGGTAGTGGAGCTACGGGCAACTACCTGATCGGAGGAGGGGTCAGTAAGCGCGACTACGGTAGGGGCGGCAAACGGCGTAAGCGCAGTGTGGTCGCGGAAGAAGCAGGCAGATGCACCAGAGTCAAGCGTGAACGAGAGCGAAGCGGTAGCGGCAGTCGGCGGAGGGGCTAGCGTGGAGCCTAGGCTAAACAAGGCAGAAGGTCCTTCGCATGACATAGCAATGGAGCCTAGACTACACACAGGAGGCACAAATGCACTAGGCAACACAGGGTAATAAGGTCTGGTCACATTAGAATCATCAGCATATATGGCATGCAAGGCAGAGAAGCTGATCCATATCCATCTGAAAGACAGGCACACGGCGACGCACCAGACTGGGCCAGTCTGGAAGGTCTGGCGATGGGCCGAAGCGGAGACAGAAGAGTTCGTCGAGGCGGTGGAAGCAGCGGGCGGCAGTGTGACTGGTACGACCACACACAGTGCCACGGAAGGGGCTGGTCTGGAGCTGGTACTGGCAACCCATAGCGCCGAAGCTGCCACTCGACGCCGAGTTGCGAGGGCCGCCACCGCGGCCACCACCACCAGAGGCACCCGGCCACCACGGCGGGAGGCGACCCCACTACTGAAGCTTCTGCGACTGCTGCGGTG